TTGAATCTCATTTTCCACTAGATTTTTACCCACGCTATGTCATGGATTGGGTATAACATGTAAAATTATTTTTTTAAAAATAATTTTAGTTTTATAATACCAAAGTAAACTCCATAAAATATGTAATAGGGGAAGCAACATGAATAAATTAAGAAATTGAAGTAAAATTAACAACCATATTAATTCAATTAACCTTAACTATTAATTTAAAACATACCAACACCTTTGAAAAATCTAAGATTGGTTCATATAAAATTCATCAATAGATAAAGCACTGACATTTAAACAATAAATTTAGACACCGTATCTATTATAAATGTATAGATATCTTTAGTATGTTAAAATGCTCATGCTTGTTCAGGCAAGTAGCTATAATACATTTTTTATCAATTTTTTTCTTAGGAAAAAAAGCCATACTTTTTCTAGGCAGCAGGACAGAAGACCTCATTGTGCAAAAACATAACATTAGGTACTGTTTCTCTAACTTGGAAGAATAAAATTAATCAGTACATTAGTCATTAAAACCCAATTGCATGTCATTAAGCCTGACAACATCAGGACACACCTGCATCTCTCTTTAATTAATTAAGCTCATATTCTTCATGTCATCAACAACCAACTGGTTCTTTCGACCAGCAACTACCATGTATTGACCATTTGGGGTGAAATCCACTGTACGGGCCAATATCTGCACGTTTCAACTAAAATAAAAGTTAGTCTCATAAGTTTTATCCATGTCATTAGCTAACAGGTTACTTCCACGCAAGAATGTTACATAATCTGAGATTCAAAGAAAAAGGGTTTTTTATTTTAAAAGCAAACTTAATAAAGAGGAAAAACGGCTTAAGAATTTTAGAAACAAAGTTTTGTGCTCTTGGATTAACCATAGTTATAGACTAAATTAGAGTTCATGAGAAAAACCTAGCATAACATGGAAAAGAAAATATACAATGCTTTCCAAAAAATATTTAGAAAAACAACATCGTTGTTTCCAACAATCCTTCTCTATGATTGCTCTTTTAAGGTAATGAAAATTGATTTATAAAATGCTGGATTCAAAGGCACACAACATGCATTGCTAAGTTATTGATCAAGGGAGCTAGGAAAGTTGCAATAAAATTTCCTTCATAAACATTCTTGGCCAAAACATTTTTTTATTGCAAAACAAACCATTAAAGAGAAATCAAGCAGCAGACATGAACCTGGCATATTGATTCTCTGCAATTGAGATATCAACTTCATGACCGATTGCATCCTGTTTGATCCTTCATGTCTTCTCTATACCCTCAGCCTCTAGATAGCCTCCCTCACTTGGTGTAAGCCACTAACTAAAAAGATCACAGATTATAAAGTATTCAAAATCAAATAATAGAAATAAAAATACAAGGTGTTATATCTGTCAGAGAACAGTGGAAGGAATGACATACAAAATCTATAATAACTTAAGACATTGCAATGAAGAGAGTATCGACTGACTAATTAAAATTGCCAACCCAACAAAAAACCAACAATTTGCGTTCTTTTAGGCAAAATAATAAGTCAAGCATAAAATATAAAACATGAAACATAATCCACAGGGAAATAAATAAAATAAAATAAAGCATCCCAAGCAAAAGATTTAACAATAACCAATTTGCCTGATTTTTTCCACTCGGACATAATTGCTTAAGCATATCAAAGAAAAAGAATCTGTCTTTTTCCCTCTGTGCAGCCAAATTGCAACCCAGTCACAACAACACAACTTTACATCACCGCTAAAAAAAATTAAAATAAATAATGAAAATGGAAGATGTCTATTATGAAGAGAAAATGGGTGCTGCAGTAAACAATATGCTTTCGGTGGCCCACATGCTAGGTGAAGGGTAAGATGCATGTTGTATGAAGAAATAAAAACCAAACAACCCACAACAACGGCAATGATTGCGTGGCGTGAATGCTCATGCAGGTAGGGATATGTATGCGTCAAAATTGTCCTCACCCTTTCCATTCTGAGGGTCTCTAATAAACCAGTGGTCTGCTTATCAGAGCTCATCATACAATCTCCCAGCAATTCACTCTTTCCAAAGTTAATTCAAATCAATAATAGCTTTGATTTGGGAAAAAAATGATAAAATTGTTAGAGGGCTGTTGGTCTGCCCCCGCGGGAAGAATTAAGCGGGCTAGGTTTCGACCCAGGCGGCAGGACTAAGGTTTGGGCTGATTTCAACCCAACCCAAGCCCTAAAGGAGAAGAAAAAGGTTGGCACGTCCGCAGGCTAGCCCAATAGCCTGGCCCAATAACCCTATTTTGGCACTCTCCTAGGTAAATTAGTCTTGAATTTTTCTTAAATTCATTTTTTTTTCATTTCATGCCTAATTTAGGTTTAATATTTTGAATTATCATGTTTGCTTTTATTTATTTATGCCAGAATGTTTAATTTTTAGGTTTATTTGGATAATTAAATTAAATAAATAATAAGTTGACGAATCGTTGAGTCTCCTAAGTTTTTGAGATTGATGCATAGTGATGCGGCATAAGCTTGTTTAGGATCTTTAATAAAAGTACGACACAGATGGAGCCATTTTTTCTCCAATTAACTCATATGTTTTATTTCTCTAATGGAAATTTATGATATAGTTTTTGATCCATTCCTAGTGATGCACATCTTAAAGTTCTGTTAATTTCTTTATAGAACTCCAAATATATTATTAAATATACATATTATTGTTGTTCCATAGATTGAAAAGTGACAAAGATGCATAAAAAAAATAGTACAGAGATATTTTATAAAAGAAAAAAACCATAATGATTAATAAATTGAGACCTCATGATAAAATAATTTTTTTAATTAAAATTTATCAATCTACCATGCATAATTTGAAGAATATTTAAATAATAGAACATTGAAATTTAAACATACACTAAAATTTATATTTAAAAATATTTTATTCATCACAAATGATCTAAATTTTACAATAATTTCTCAATAGCAATTTATTTTTTAATTATTTGTCAATCTAATATGCATAATTTGAAACTTATTTTGTTCCTATTAAAAATTACATGTGATAGTTTGAAATACATCTTAATATTAAAGATTTAGAAATTAACAATCAATCGATGTTAAGAGTAATTATGTGAATCTTATTGGGTTGTGAAGTTGTCCTTATTTAAAAGATTTAATGTATTTTTAAATGTTATAAACAGATATTATTTCAAGCTGAGTCGAAGTTGGTGATTCAATTATTGACCTCTGATGATGATACTCACGATGTCTATTGCCATCCAGTCCAAACTATTTCTATTGACCTGTAACTTTTTTTCAGGACTTTACTTCTTTCTAGAATCCAAAAAAATAAAATTAAAAAATGCAATCATCCTTTTGCAAAGATGCGAAACTATTTGGATGTGTGACAACTTTCCACAAAATAAAAATATTCAAGGCAGATAATGTCAGGTCATGTTGACTACTATTAACATTTTCTTGGCCCCAAGGTGTAATTTTCCACAACCACTAACAAGACTGTCAGTGATTGCATTATTTCTGCCTTGGGGAACAAATATTCAAGCAAAGAAGGCAGATAATGCCAATAATTTTCTTTTATTGTAAAAAAAAAAAAAAAGACCACTATCAATTTTTATAATTAGATAGCAACGTTAAACCTGTTCTGCTACCTTTTGCGAAGGGTAGAAGAGGAGGACGGTTTCAGGTTGACTGACCAACTCCTAGCCATGGCCCATTACAGACAGAATGGGACTAGGACTAGCAATAAGAGAATTTGTGAAAATGTCTAAAATGTCCACTTGTGAACTGATGGTGGGAAATCTCCGTTTTTTGGCTTTCCTTCCTCTATGGCTTCTCAGGAGTGAAATGAAATGCGCAAAATGTTTGTCTTGTTCCTTTGTACCGATGCCTTTTATGAACGATTATCCTTTTCTATTTTTCATGCATTTTTGGATCGAATAGCAGGGGTAGGGAACGAAAGGTCATTTAACCTTGGTTCAGGAGACATTTTTTGGTGTAGCAAGAGGCAACTAACAAAACAATCGCACGTAAAAGTAGTGCATAGAGCAGCTAGCAGTAATAACAACTTAGGAAAACATAAGTTATGTAATATTATTGCATTGTGACAACAAGCGAACAATCCTTTTAGTCGAAAAGCCAATATTTCATAAAAAAAAAAAAAAAACAAGGCATATGAAAGACATCAAAGTGAGTATTTTGAGAATTATCATTGGTAGTGTAAATTTGTATTCCTATTTAAGCCTACCAAACTGTGTCTCTAAACTCTACAGTTTTATAGTTTGGACAATTTTCAACATTTAACAAGAAGGGTAGCTATGAGGACAATCATTTACTTTATTGATCACCGGTCACCACTCCTGAAAAATTGCAGAAACGAATAAGCATTGATTTATATTTAAAAATTAAACTAAATTAAGCCAATTTTTTCATCATTAGACTATATATATATATATATATATTGTTAAACTAATATGCTTTTCAGAGAAGAACATGGGGAGTGCTTGTTACATGACAAGTGCATCACATGCATTTAAAACTATCCCAATTTATTGGAAATATAAAGTCTCGAGATAATAATTTCTAAGAAATTCTCCAATTTTCACATGAATACTTGCTTGTTATAGGATCTAATAAAATAAACTTTGGTTGTGATGTAATGAAATTGATTCCAATTTTCACACTAAATAAACTTCTTGTTCGCACAATTATAATTTATATATTGATGTAATGCTTATACTTTTCAATTTTCACGAAGGATGCCACAACATGCTGCCAAGAACAGAAGCCTTTCATGTAATTCATTAATCATCCAAACAACATGGCTGATGGAAATAATCATAAAGGAATTTTCTTTTTTACTGTAGAAAAAATCAGATTATCAAGAATAATAACAATAATCATAATTATATATAAATGAAATTGTTTTGTTCTAAAAGCAAAATTTCGTGGAATTTATTGATCAACAAGTCGGAGAAAGTTTCTTTTTTTCAACAAGATGGGCCCACCACATTTTGAACCCGCAACCCGCAATGGTCCATTGCGCTCTCCTATAAATGCGATGAGAGGTTACAATTATTTTCGAGCAGAAGCAGTTGTAGTCCAAATGGAAATAAGAAGATTGTCTCTCGTAGTGGTGGTGATAGGGATGCTTAATGTCCTGCTTTTATCAGAAGGATGTTTAGAGGAAGAGAGAATTGCTCTCTTGCAAATCAAAACTTCCTTTGATTATCCAAATGGCACATCATCCCAGTATTACTCTTGGGGAAAAGATGCCAACTGTTGTAATTGGGAAGGAGTTTTCTGCAATGCCACTACAGGGCGAGTTCTCCAAATCGATCTTCTCTACGAGAGATTAGCGGATTGGTACTTAAATGCCACTTTGTTTCTTCCTTTCCAAGAGCTGAACTCTCTTGAATTGAGTGGAAACAACATACTTGGCTGTGTTGAGAATGAAGGTTTGTCGGTTGACTAAAATTATTATACACAAGATTTAAAATATGTAGAAATACATTTAAGAATATATAAGTGTTCATTACTTAAATTAACTGACAGAATTAACTTTTTATGTTAATGGTCATGCAGGCTTTGAAAGACTTTCAAAACTCGACAATTTAGAGACTCTCTATTTAAGTTATAACAAGTTCAACAACAGCATTCTAGCATCTCTAAGTGCTCTTTCATCTTTGAAATCATTAGATCTATCAAACAATCGACTTAAAGGATCGATTAATATTGAAGGTACGCGAGTAATTTAATTTTTCTCTCCTTTCATGGCTTAAACAAACCATGGTATTAAAACTCATTTTGTTGTTTTTACCGTGTATAATTTATACTAATTAACTCTATATATATATATATATATATATATATATATATATATATATATATATGCATGAACAGAACTGCATCACTTAAGAAGGCTGGAAGAGTTGAATGTCGCAGATAATGAAATTGAAGGCTTCAAATCTTTTTATAGTATGAAAGAGTAGTGAGTTATTTATTTTAATTTGTTTTTAGAAATAAGTCAAATTTACTTCACTAATATCCTAATTTCATGTTTTTCACATGAAATTTTAATATAATTTGTTTTTTTTATAGATGGGGATGCACTATTGAAATTGAGCAATTTGAAGTACCTTTACTTGAGTAGAAATCGCTTCAATAACAATATATTATCATCCATCACGGATCTTTCATCTCTTATGGATCTGCGTCTATCTTATAACCAACTCGAAAGGATCATTCAACATGAAAGGTTCTTTATATATATAATCACATCTTAATTATTCTACTTTAAAAAAAAAGCCTTAATTAAGGTTTTGTTATATATGAACTAATATAAAGATTTCTATTTCCCTGCAACCTAGAATTGGATGCTTTGATCAACTTACAGGTGGTGGCTCTAAGCGGAAATGAGATTGACAAATTTGTGTTCTTGGAAGGTATTAGTTTTCACATGATTGCTAGTGACTTTTTACCTCATTGTTTTCATGATTTAATGTATCAAAACTTGTTTTATTCTCTTCTCACTTGCAGATAGTAGAGGTTTTCCAAACCTTAGCGGCATTTATTTAAATAATATGACCACAAATGGAAGAGGCATCCCATTCTCATTACTGCAATCATTGGAAAAATTCCCAAACCTCAGGAGCCTTGCTCTGGGATGGAACCATTTTGACGAAACAATATTAGCTCAAGGTGATTAAGTTTTAGGATTAATTATTCATTTCTTCATTAATAAACTTTTCTTTTTTAACATGATCTCTTTAGATTTATTTATTTATTTATTTGCATCATTTCCTGTTGTTCAATTTATTTCTTTAGTTACTAATAAACTATAATGTTCCTCCTTCAATAATTTTCAAATTCGATTTTTTTTTCAAAAAAAAAAAAACTTATCTCTTTAATTATAACCAAAAAATAAATACTTATATCTTTACGTTGATTTGGAAGGTATAATTAGATTGAAGGCTTTAATTTCTTTCGTATTCTTTATTGTTTTTTTTTTCCTTGAAATGATTGTACCACATAAAACTCTTGGTTATAATAACGAGACATAAGATTATCTTATTTGAGGTAAAAAAAAAAAGAATAATTATACTAATATTATCTTAATATTATAATTTTTCTTAATCAAGTATATGATTTTAATTTTTTTTAAATACATTAATTGCTTCAAAAACTTTCAATCAACTCCTTCCATCTACCTTTTGTCAATTGCTTTGTTATACAATGATGTGTCTTTTGACAGTTTGACCTCAACCCATAACTATTAAACAAACTTTTCCTTCATCTCAATAGAGTTACATATACTTCAATTATTTTTATTTAGATACACTTATGGTTATTTCAACTATAATTTTAAATTATAAATTGTAAATTATAAATTATTCAATATTTTTATTTATGTACAATAATAATTTATCCTACCACTCAATAACTTAATTAATTATCTCGTAATTATGCTTGTTACTAATATATTATTGTGTTATTACGATCAACTCAAAAAGTACATGGCTACTTTTAAAGAAAATAAATATTATTTACTTCATAATAAATAATTACTGATTACGAATTGTTAAGTAGAGTCACCTAATAAACCTTAAAAAATTATCATATCATTTCATAATTTAGCTAATTATTATTCCATAATTTTCCTAGTTATGAAAATTAAGTACAATTTCAATAAAAAAAAGTTTCAATAAAAAAAAGTTTCTTGTTACATTAGAGAATAAAAAGAATATTATTTAAGTTGTAAAGAAACCATTTGTAAGTGACTGCAAATAAATAAATATTTAATTGTAAAGAAACCATTTGTAAGATCTATATTTTGAGATCCTTCACAATCGATCATAGATTTTTGCACAATTTTTTTTTCTAAAAAGAAAGCTGATATCTTTAGATTTTTTTTTTAATTTTCCTACATTTGTAAGTTCTCTTTAGATTTTTATCTCTTGTGGTTGGTTTGGACAATATAATTTTCCCTTAATTTCTTTTTTTCTTTCTCTCTCTTTTTTTTTCCCCAAAAACTGGTACTACCAGATAACCTTCTTTTTTCCCAAAAAAAGTTTAGTTATAATTAAGACAATTTATGCCTAAAGGTTTTTTTAAAAAAAAAAAATCCAACTTCTTTTCGTTAATCTATTTCTTGTCCGTTTGACTATTTTAGCCTTGCTTTCTCTCAAGAACTTGGAAGAATTGTTTGTGGTTTCCTCTACACTCAATAACACCTTTCTGCAAACAATCGGAAGGATTACTACTTTAAAGAGTTTGCACTTGATTGGTTGTGGACTCAATGGCTCCATACCTACAACCCAAGGCAAGTCCATTTGATGCCCCTTCTTTCTCTGAGTAATCTTTTTTTTATTTCTACCTAAAATTTTAATAAATTAATTAATAATTCTCATTTTTCAGGCCTGTGTAAGTTAAAGCATCTGCAAACTCTATATCTCAACGCTAATGATCTCAATGGTACCTTGCCTTGGTGTTTGTCAAATTTGACATCCCTTCAATTCTTAGATGTCTCTTCCAATCACTTTACTGGAGATATTTCCTCATCTCCTCTTGTTAGTCTCACATCTCTCCAATACTTAGATCTTTCGGGCAACCACTTTCAGATTCCCATCTCATTGAATCCTTTTTTCAACCATTCAAAACTCAAGTATTTCGTTGGTGACAATAACGAAATATATGTAGAAGAATTAGAGGAACATAATTTGGTCCCAAAGTTCCAATTGATTTTTCTAAATTTATCTAGCCATGGACATGGTGGAGCATTTCCCAAATTTCTTTTCTATCAATTCAACCTACAGACAATTGATTTTTCTAACTTGAAATTACGGGGAGGGTTTCCTAATTGGTTGCTAGACAACAACACAAACCTAAATTGACTTTATTTGACCAATAATTCTCTTTTTGGACCTTTTCAATTGCCAATTCATCCTCATGTGAATTTGTCAAAATTAGGTATTTCTCACAATTATTTCGACAACCACATTCCAATAAAAATTGGAGCATACTTTCCAAGTTTAACTTCTTTATTCATGTCTGGAAATCACTTATCTGGCAGCATTCCCTCTTCAATCGGCACTATGTTGCATCTTCGAATTTTGGATATGTCAAAGAACAACATCTCTGGAACTCTACCATCTTGCTTTAGCTTGTTGCCACTCATTCATCTTTATTTGTCACACAATACATTACAAGGAAATTTGGAAGATGCATTTCGAAACTCCTTTGAGCTAGTAACATTGGATCTTAGCCATAATGGATTGAGTGGTAGCATTCCAGAATGGATTGGTGAGATTTACCAATTGAGTTTTCTTCTATTGGGTCATAATAATCTTGAAGGAAGACTACCCTTCCAACTGTGCAAGTTGGACGAGTTGGGCTTCCTTGATCTTTCTCATAATAATTTTTCTGGTCATATCCTACCTTGTCTAAGATTTAAAAGCAGTTTTTGGTTCCTCCAACTAACAACAAATTCTTATGCATTTGAGCCTAAGCAACCTTTAGAGATTACAACTAAGAGTATATCCTATTCTTACCCGCCAAGTGTTTTGAAGTACATGTCTGGATTGGATCTCTCTTGCAACAATTTGGAAGGTAACATTCCTCGGGAGATTGGAAACCTTAACCACATCCATGCACTGAATCTATCCAACAACCATTTAATAGGTCCAATCCCACAAACTTTTTCAAACTTGAGTCAACTTGAAAGCTTGGATCTTTCCAATAACAATTTGATAGGGAAAATCCCTCCTCAACTTGTAGAAATGCATTCTCTGGCCTATTTCAGTGTTGCCCATAATAACCTATCTGGTAAAACTCCTGAGATGGTTGCACAATTTTCAACATTCAACTAGAGTAGCTATGAGGGAAATCCTTTTCTTTGTGGACCGCCACTCTCAAAGCATTGCACCCAAGAAGAAGAAGCTCCATCATCACTGCCAAGGACTTCAACGGATAATATAGAAGAAAGTGGCTTCATAGATACATTTACTTTCTATGTTAGCTTTGGTGTGGCATACATCATGGTGCAGTTGGGAATAGCTGCAGTTTTGTACATAAACCCACGCTGGCGACAAGTATGGTTTTACTTCATTGAGGAGATCATCAACAAGTGCTACTACTTTCTCGTGGACAACCTTCTTAAGCCATTTGGAATCAGAGGTTGGAAGCCTTTGGTGTAAATAAATCTGAAATGTGCACTGTTTCTACTTTTCAATGTGAAGATTTAATAAGCCATTTGTCGCCATAGTATAAATTATGTCTGAAAAGTTGTGTTCTTTGTAGCAAATGTAATGAAGAAAATCATTTCTTAGTATACGTAAAAAGAGAGGCATTGGGCAAGGAAAAAAAAACAACTCATTCAATCTGAAACGGGCACTAATTCCTTGATTTTCTTGGGTTGTTTTCCAATTCCCAAAAAACACACCAAGATTTTAGCTAAACCATTACATACAGTGGGCAGTTTTATTTATCAAAGAAATTTTGAAGTGCATTTTCAAAGAAACAGAAAATAATGGATAGATGAACCTTCTTCTGTATACTTCTAGCTATTCTCATCGATTGCATTGTATACTTCCCATGGCCTCAACTTATCATACTCCACCTTGAGCAGCTTAGTGGCTTGAAGTTTGAGGCAGCCTGAAAGAACCCCCAGCATAAAGCATCTCATGGACAGGCCTTATCCTCATAGTTAGAATAATGCTCAACAAGGATCCCAAACCGCAGACATCAGCCAGAACCAAGGAGGTGTGACTGAAGCAATTTGGACCCAAGCAGGAGATGCTTGAATATTTGGTCGTCAGTATCATACTCCACCTATGGTTGCTCTGCTGCCTCAGTATCATATGCATAGCCTGCCAGGAGACCCGAGAAATGGAACGCACCAAGAGGATTTCCTAGTGACATGAAGTCGCAAAAAAAAAAAATAAATAAATAAAAAAGAAAAACTTTCTTGAAAGTTATTAAGTCGTCTACGATGAGTTTGCAATCAATCAATGTCATGAAGAAAAGTTACTAACAAATTTCTCAAATCCTCCGCTAAGTCCACTAAATAAACTTGTTGCTCCCGCGATTATACTGTATATGTTGACGTAATATCAATTCAATTTCCAGGAGACCTAGGAAAAGGAAAGCACCAAGAGGATTTCTTTTGAGAACTGAACTCCATAGCAGATCCTAAGTAATGCTGTTGCAGCGTAAAGGGTACCATCAATTGCAGAGGCAAACAAAATTACTTGAGTGCATGTCATCCTTATTGTCTGAGGAATTGCTTTTGACCAGTAAAGAATAAATTTCCAGTACATGATTCTACAACACAAAAATATGTAATGAACTTGATGATTAGCCAAAAAGGAATGAGTGTAGTAACCTGACAAAATGTTCACACACAGTACCCCCACCAAGGCACCCCACAAAATTGCAAAAGCTGAAGAGCGACAACAAGATTGTAGTATCATCGTTTATTAGGGCTAGATTATTGAGCACCGTTACCCTAGATCCAACACCCACAAAGTATACACAGAAAAGAAGCCAGAAATCCTCCCCTCTTTTGGGCCTTCTCTTCTTCTTCGTAGCCCCTTCACCCTCAGCTAGAAGCATAGCCACCTCAGATGCCTCATCGTTTTCCTAAAAACTACCAAGTGTCGTTGTTGATGAAGATGATTTTAGCACCGGTTTGGTTTTGTCTGCATTGTCTTCTAGTATCACGCAGTCTGAGGACTTAATTGGCTGGTGATGCATCCCTGGTTTACTGACTCTCGTGTGATGCATCCCCGGTATTGCAAACGGAGCCATGAGTAGGGCAACCATTATAACAAGAAAGGTATTAGATATCAGAGCACTGAAAAGAAATATGTGATCCAACACTGTGGTTGTTAGAACATATAAACCAAGTACAATAAGAGCTCCTTGAGTGAACAGAAAGTGGGCAGGTTCTGAAGAGTCTTCACCTGAAGCAGGAGTACAAGCTCTTACAAAATACATGACTATGAAACATAGAATAGGAATTCCAAGTGCAAGAAACATCAGAAGCTTAGAGGAGGAATTGCGGAGCAGAGTACTATAAATTTTAGTAAATACTGCAACAGTGCCTCTACTAATAGGAAAGTTTCTCATGTTGGTTACAAGAACAACAGTGCTCAACCAAGCACTACTATTGGCGGCAACACAGAGCGCGAGCCATAGCTGCAATACCTTGCACAAGCAAGGTAGAGAACGTCGAACTCCAATGAAAAAAGTGCAGGGGGTGGAGATGCAGCAGATTGTATCAAACTCATTTTTTACCATTTTTGAGTTAGCCACAAAAAGAGGACTGCCTGATGCTCTTTCAGCAGCGAAGAGGAATCCTTGCTTGTGCAAACAAACTTGTTTTCAATCAAAAAGGATTACACTTGATCCATTCTTCTCTAACCTTTCTTGAGATGAAATTGATTACTTCATGATATAGTTAAAAAGAATTTGATACTTATGGATTGCACAAATAATTCTTTTAATTAATTTGCCACTGCCAAATTCTTTTATACTACATACTGTGGTATGATTTTTCACCATACAAAAACAGCACTTACCGTTTTAATATACCCAATAACCAAATATCAATTGCTTCTAAATATCATTTCAGCTTTTCCCCACAAGCTTCATGAACATTTCCTCACACTTCCAAGCAACCCCGGAAAAGCCAAATCTATTGGAACTTTATCCACTAAGTTCGTCAAAATTCTCTTCAAAACACCTTTAGAATGTCAAATCACTCCACTCGCTGATCTTTAAAAAAAAAGAAAAAAAGAATTGCAATCCGAATCCATTTAAGAACAATGTAATTCACATGAACCACATCAATTTAATCGCACCTAAACCAATGCAAGCAATGACCACTCTACCTTCAACCTAAACCCAGTCATATGAGAACTCACCAGCCAATAAGGCATGGATTGTATTTTACGACTACCAGCAAGCCAAAGAACACCATAACCAAAGAAGCCAGCAAAAGCACCAATCAAGAGAATATATAACCCAAGGAGGGAACTTTTTGCAAGCAATACCAGGAATGAGCCCGACATTCTCACCAGCATCATTGGCAACACCAAGCATGGTAAGCTGGCGCTGGTCAAATCCCACGACAGATTTTGAAGAACGGGAATAAAGAGGGAAGTAGGCCCTTGCACTGATCAGGTTCTCTTAAACCTTGCATGTAAACTCTTACTCAATCCATTAATGCCAATATTTTTAATCTCGGCCAGCAACATGAATTACAACTGATTTATTACATGCCTGCTTCAGCTTGCCTGAATGGGGACCTAATAACTCCAAAAGGCAGCACAACATAATCATTAGTTGAATCTCTTTTAAAGAGTATAGAGCTCTTTTCAAACATCCTAGGTAGCTTGATGCATTACTTTTATTATGAAACAGGATTTACAGTGTCAAGATCGCTCGATCTCAGAATGAACTAGGGAAGAGAGAATCAGGGGGAGGCAGAGAGGAAGAGAAAAATCGAAAATGGGATAGGGATTTGATTTCGACAAGAGGCTAATGGGTAAGCTTTGATGTTCGAAGGAGAAGAGAGAAGCTCGGGCTAACTGTGTTGAGTGAAGATTTAGGGCAGGGAGAGATTAGAGAGGAAGTTGCATCAGAGATTGAAGGAGGGAAATGACAGAAGAGGGAAAGAGGATGAAGTAGAAGACTAATTTCAGATATTTGATCTGCTTTGATTTGGAAAAAAATGATAAAATTGTTAGAGGGCTAAGGGATGTAGGTCTGCCCCCGCGGGAAGAATTAAGCGGGCTAGGTTTCGACCCAGGCCGCAGGACTAAGGTTTGGGCTGATTTCAACCCAAGCCAAGCCCTAAAGGAGAAGAAAAAGGCTAGCATATCCACCAGGCTAGCCCAATAGTCTGGCCCAATAACCCTATTTTAATTTTTCTTAAATATATTTTTTTATTTCATGCCTAATTTAGGTTTAATATTTTGAATTGTAGTTTTTGATTTTATTTATTTATTGCGAAATATTTGATTTTTAGGTTTTATTTGGATAATTATATTAGATAAACAATAGGTAGAAAAATCGTCGAGTCTTCTAAACTTTTGAGACTAATGGCAGTTCCCACCAATAATATATATATATAAAAGAAAAAATTAAGAAAAATAAAAACAACAAGAAAATAAAAAAATATTAGATTAAATAAAAAAGGAAGAAAATAAAAAGAAAGAAATGAAATGATAAAATAAAAAAAGGAAATGAGAAGAAAAAAAGAGAAAATGCTACGTGAAATATAAAAAAAGAAAAGCAAAAATATAGAAAATACTATGAGAAAATTAAATAAAGTCTTATATCTAATAATGACTGATATTAACTTAAGTCAATCACATTTTAGTAATTAGGTCATTTTTCAACATACCGGTTGTGTTGAGACTTAAATTGGATCCAATATTGAATTGACGAGACATTTGATGACAACATCCGACAATCGATTTTATACGATGCTATCAAAAATTTAAAAATTAATTTTTTAGAAAATAAAACTTGAAATTTTGACCTAGGATTAATTTTGACAAAAATAGTAATTTCGAGAATATAAATTTTAGGAATAAACTACACATAATACCTTTTTAGGAAATAATGCTTTTGGATAATTGATATATTTCTAAAAGCATAACTAACTTCTTATCTTAAAATCTTTGAACTATTGTCCATTTTAAGGTTCAATTTACTTTTTAACACTAAATTATGACTCTAAAATTAATAATAATTCATATCTTCAAAAAACTAAAATTTTTAAATAAATAATAAATCATAATTTTTTTAAAGTCCCCTAAACATCGGATTGCGATATTACGTATCCTTTTGGGGACACACTTGACTCGTGATGCATGGTGGTACTTTACAAGCTCTTGTTTAGGATCTTTTATAAAATGCGACACAGATGGAGCATTTTTTAATGATATTTTATTTTTTAAAAAAACAAAAACCGTAATGATTAATAAATTGAGACCTCATGATAAAAATAAATTTTTTTAATTCAAATTTATCAATCTATATACCATGCATAATTTGAAGAATATTTCAATAATAGAACATTTAAATATAAACATACGCTAAAATTTATATTTAAAAATATTTTATTCATTACAAATGATCTAAATTTTACAATAATTTCTTAATAACAATTTATTTTTTTAATTATTTTTCAATTTAATATGCATAATTTGAAATTTATTTTGTTCTTATTGAAAATTACATGTGATAGTTTGAAACATATCTTAATATTAAAGATTTAGAAATTAATAATCAATCAATCTTAAGCGTAATTGTGTGAGTCTTATTGGGTTGTGAAATTATCCTTATTTAAAAGATTTAATGTTTTCTTAAATGTTATAATCAGATATTACTTAAATCTGACTTGAAGTTGGCCATTGAGTTATTGACTTCTTATAAACTATTTCTGTTAACCTTCAACGGCCATTACAAGTTTGGATTTCTTAAGACCAAATCGTATTTTATTATTTGTAACTCTTTTTCAGAACTTTACTTCTTGCTAGAATCCAAAAAATAAAAAAAATAAAAAACAATGCATCAATCCTTTTCCTATTCATAAATGCAAAGATACGAAATTATTTGGATACGTGACAACTTTTCACAAAATAAAAATATTCAAGGCAGATATGTGACAACTTCACTGGTCAAGCAAAGAATGCAGCAACATTTTCTTGGCCCCATGGTGTAATTTTCCACAACCACTAACAAGACTGTTAGTGATTGCATTATTTCTGCCGTGGGGAACACATTGCCTCTGATGACCGTTTCAATATCTCTCTATTTCTCAGTCATCGTAAATACCAACAAATATGAAGAGAAGTTACCGTCCAAATGGAAATAAAGTCAAAAATGGGTATTTGATCCAAACGTATTTCAACTTTGTTTTCTTCAACAGAGTCACATCAACATCATTCCTATTCCTCCGCCATCTCTCGTAATTATGATTGATGGTCTACTTGTTTCTTTGATTGTTGGGAGGAGAGAAGAAAATTTTCCTGGGAAAGGAAAAAAATTCATCCGGAATAAATCTAGGTAAGACAGAGGAAAGCTGAAACGGCAAAAAAATCTAGTATTAATAAGAAATAAAACGGTAAGAAAATAATTTCAAGATTTTGTTTCTCTCTCTTTCTCTCCTTTCCTTCTTTGTTTTTGTTTGGTTCCCTTCCACAAAATACCAGATGCAGTGTTGTAAGTGGAAAAATATGCAGTAAAAAAAAAAAAAACTTTATTGTAAGTGAAAAATTATGCCATTTGAATGTAACAGTGCAATCCATTAATCATCCAAACAACACAGATAAAAATAATCAATAAGAAATTTTCTTTTTTATTGTTAAAAAAAAATTAGATCATGTACACCAATAGCAAGAATCATAATAACATACGATGAAGTCCTTGTTAATTAGAGCATAATATAAGTTACATAACCATATTATTGAGACTTAACAATTTAAGTTTTTCAATTAAAATATTTTTTAATATAATATTGTAATTTCATTTCAAATCCAATCATCATTAGTTTTATAATTAAATTAAAAATTAAGTAAGATTTGATTTATATAAGTTTCAAATCTAAAAATATTTTACTTAAATGAATGTATTTATAAAGAGTAATACAAAACTATATCACCCTCAGCTAACCATTTAGACTAGCTGTAGAGTTTCTCATTGTTCTAGAAGCGAAATTTCAAGGAACTTAGCAATCGACAAGTCGGAGATCATTTCCCTTTTTCCACAAGATGGGCCCACCATATTTTGAACCAGCAAGACCGCAACCGGCAATGGTCCATTGCGCGCTCCCATAAATGCGAAGAGAGGTTACCATTATTTTCAAGCAGCAGCAGTTGTTGTCCAAATGGAAATAAAAAGATGGTCTCTGGTGACGGTGGTGGTAGGGATGGTTAATGTCATGCTTTTAGTAGAAGGGTGTTTAGAGGAAGAGAGAATTGCTATCTTGCAAATCAAAACTTCCTTTTATTACCCAAATGCCACATCATCGCTGCATGACTCTTGGAGAAAATATGCCAACTGTTGTAATTGGAAAGGAGTCTCCTGCAATGCAACTACAGGGCGAGTCGTCGATATCAATCTTTCCTTTGAGAGATTAGCGGAATTGGGAGATGGGTACTTAAATGCTACTTTGTTTTTTCCCTTTCAAGAACTGATCTCCCTTTCCTTGCATGGGAATAACATACTTGGCTGTGTTGAGAATGAAGGTTTGTCTGTTGATTGAAATTCTTGTACATAAATTTTACAATATGTAGAAATATATTTTAAGAATATAAGTGTTTATTTGTCAAATTGATAGAACTAACCTTTCATGTAACTGTCATGAAGGTTTTGAAAGACTCTCACAACTAGGCAGTTTGAAGAGACTCGATTTGGGTGATAACAAGTTCAACAACAGCATTCTAACGTCTCTAAGTGCTCTTTCATCTTTGAAATCATTAAATTTAGCAAACAATCGGCTCAAAGGATCAATTAATATTGAAGGTACGTGAGTGATTTGATTTTTTCTCCTCCTTTCATGTTTCAAACAAGCCACATCATTGAAGCTCCCCTTGTTGCTTTTACAGTGTAAAATTTATATTAATTAACTCTTTTATATATATATATATATATATATATATAATATGTGAACAGAACTAAATCGCCTAAGAAGCCTGGAAGAGTTGTATCTTGCACATAATGAAATTGAAGGCTTCAAATCCTTTCATGGTATAAACGAGTCGTGAGATGACCATTTTAATTTTTCTTCTTTCACTATTGTGCTAATTTCATATTTTTTACATGAAATCTTGATATAATATATTTTTTTAATAGGTGGTAATGCACTACTGAAATTGAGCAATTTGAAGTTCCTTCACTTGGATGGAAATCACTTCAATAACAACATATTACCATCCCTTGAGAGTCTTTCGTCTCTGAATATTTTGAATTTATCTGACAACCACTTGAAAGGATCATTTAACATTAAAGGTTACTTATATATATAGTAACATATTAATTTTTCTAATTCAAAAAATGAGTCTTAATTAAGATTTTTTTTATGACCTAATATAAATATTTCTTTTTCCTGTGCATCATAGGATTGGATGCTTTGATTAACTTAGAGACGTTGTCTCTAGACGAAAATGAGATTGACAAATTTGTGATCTCAGAAGGTATTAGTTTTCACGTGATTATTGATGACTTCATGACTTTTTACCTGATAGATCATTTCCATGATTTAATGCATTAAAACTTGTTTTATTCTCTTCTCACTTGCAGATAGTAGAGGTTTTCCAAACCTAAGGTGCATTTATTTATATAATATGACCACAAATGGAAGAAGCATTCCATTCTCTTTACTGCAATCGTTGGCAAAATTCCCAAACCTCAGGACCCTTCTAATGGGACGGAACCATTTTGACGGAACAATTTTAGCTCAAGGTGATTAAGTTTTAGGATTAATTATTCATTTCTTCATTAATGTCCCTTTCTTTTTTAACGTGATCTCTTTAGATTTATTTATTTATTTACTTGCATCATTTTCTATTGTTCAACTTATTTCTTTAGTTGCTAATAAATTATAATGTTCCTCCTTTCTTCAATAATTTTCAAATTCGATTTTTTTTCCTAAAAAAAAAAACGTATCTCTTTAGTTAGAACCAAAAAAATAAATACTTATATGTTTAAGTTGATTTGGACGATATAATTAGATTGAAGGCTTTGCTTTCTTTAGTACTCTTTATTGTTTTTTCCTTTGAAAAGATTGTACCAGATAAAACTCATGGTTATATATAGTAATGGAAGATTGTCTTATTTGAGTGTAAAAATATAGGAATAATTACACTAATAATATCTCTATTTTACAATTTTTCTCAATCGTATGTATAGATTTTAATTTTTTAAAAGTACATTAATTATTTCAAAAATATCAATCAACTACTTCCATCTATCTTTTGTCAATTACTTTGTTATATAATGATGTGTCTCTTGACGGTTTGACCTCAATCGATTATTAGTGAAATAACTTTCAATTTATCTCAATCGAGTACTTACACTTCAATCATTTTGATTTAGAACACCTAAGGTTCCTTCAAGGCATTGTCATTTTAAATTATAATTTATTAAGTATTTTTATTTATGTATCATAATAGCTTATCCTACCAATCAATAACGTAACTAACTATCTTGTAATTATACTTGTTACTAATATATTATTGTGTTATTAAGACTCAAATGTATATTGTTACTTTTTAAAAAATATTATTTACTCCGTAACAAATAATTAGTTATTACGAACTGTAATAAACCTTAAAAAATTATCATATATATCATTTTGTAATTTGACTAATTATTCCATAATTTTCCTAATTATGAAAAATTAAGTACAATTTCAATAAAAAAAATTTCTTGTTATGTTAGAGAATGAAAAGAATATTATTTTAAGTTGTAAAGAAACCATTTGTAAGTGATTGTAAATTAATAAATATTTAGTTGTAAACAAACCATTTGTAAGATCTTTATTTTGAGATCATTCACAATCGACAATTAATGCCTAAAGGTTTTGTTCTTTTTTCTTTTTCTTTTTTTTTTTTTTTTTTTTTGGCTAAAAAGAACCCATCTTCTCTTCGTGTATTGCCTTCAATGCTAATATTAAGTACTTTTTGTCCGTTTGATTATTGTAGCCTTGCCTTCTCTCAAGAATTTGGAAGTACTGGATTTGAGTTTCACTACATTCAATAGCAGCTTTCTGAAAACACTTGGAAGGATTAATACTCTAAGGAGTTTGTACTTGATTGGTTGTGGACTCAACGGCACCATACCTATAGCCCAAGGTAAGTCCATTTGATGCCTCTTCTCCCTCTGGGTAACCTTTTTTATTTCTACCTAAAAATTTTATAAATTAATTAATAATTCTCATTTTTCAGGCCTATGTGAGTTAAAGCATCTGCAAAATCTAGTTATCAGGAATAATGATTTTAATGGTGTCTTGCCTTGGTGTTTGTCAAATTTGACATCCCTTCAATTATTAGATATCTCTTCCAATCACTTCACTGGAGATATTTCCTCATCTCCTCTTATTAGTCTCACATCTCTCCAAAAGTTATATCTTTCAAACAACCACTTTCAGATCCCCATCTCATTGAATCCTTTTTTCAACCATTCAAAACTCAAGTCTTTCTCAGGTGACAATAATGAAATATATGTAGAAGAATCAGAGGAGCATAATTTGGCCCCAAAGTTCCAATTAGAGACACTTAATTTATCTAGCCATGGACATGGTGGAGTATTTCCCAAATTTCTTTTTTATCAATTCAACTTGCAGATAATCGATTTTTCTAACTTGAAATTGTGGGGAGGGTTTCCGAATTGGTTGCTAGATAACAACACAAACCTATATCAACTTTATCTAGCCAATAGTTCTCTTTCTGGACCTTTTCAATTACCAATTCATCCTCATGTGAATTTGTTAGAATTAGATATTTCAGATAATTACTTTGACAACCACATTCCGACAGAAATTGTAGCATATTTTTCAAGTTTAACTGTTTTATCCATGTCTGGAAATCACTTCACTGGCAACATTCCCCCTTCTTTTGAAATTATTTTGCATCTTCAAGCTTTGGATCTATCAAAGAACAATATCTCTGGAACTCTACCATCTTGCTTTAGCTTTTTGCCACTCGTGCATCTTTATTTGTCACATAATACATTAGAAGGAAATTTGGAAGGTGCATTTCGAAACTCCTTTGAGCTAGTAACATTGGATCTTAGCCATAATGGATTGAGTGGTAGCATTCCAGAATGGATTGGTGAGATTTCCAAATTGAGTTTTCTTCTATTGGGTCATAATAATCTTGAAGGAAGAATACCATTTCAACTGTGCAAGTTGAATGGGTTGAGCTTCGTTGATCTTTCGTATAATAATTTTTCTGGTCATGTCCTACCTTGCCTAAGATTTAGAAGCAATTTTTGGTTCATCCAAGAAACACCTTATTCTGATATGTTTGCCCTTAAGGAACCTATAGAGATTACAACTAAGAGTATAACCTATCCTTACCCACCAAGCGTATTGAACTTGATGTCTGGAATGGATCTCTCTTCCAACAATTTGGAAGGTGACATTCCTTGGGAGATTGGAAACCTTAACAACATTCATACACTGAACTTGTCCAACAACCATTTAGTAGGTTCAATCCCACAAACGTTTTCAAACTTGAGTCAAGTTGAAAGCTTGGATTTTTCCAATAACAATTTGAATGGGAAAATTCCTCCTCAACTTGTAGAAATGTATTCTCTAGCCTTTTTCAGTGTTGCCCATAATAACCTATCTGGTAAAACTCCTGAGATGGTTGCACAATTTTCAACATTCAACGAGAGTAGTTATGAGGGAAATCCTTTTCTTTGTGGACCACCACTCTCAAAACGTTGCACCCAAGAAGAAGAAGCTCCATCATCGCTGCCAAGGACTTCAACGGATAATATTGAAGAAAGTGGCTTCATAGATACATTTACTTTCTATGTTAGCTTTGGTGTGACATACATCATGGTGCTGTTGGGAATAGCTGCAGTTTTGTATATAAACCCACGCTGGCGACAAGTATGGTTTTACTTAATTGAGGAGAGCATTAACAAGTGCTACTATTTTCTTGTGGACAATCTTCTTAAGCCATTTGGAATCACAGGTTGGAAGCCTTTGGTGTAAATAAATCTGAAATACGCATTGTTTCTACATTTCAATGAGAAGATTTAAAATCTTATCTCATCTCCAGACTTCATAGTATAAATTATGTCTGAAAAGTTATGTTCTTCCTAGCAATGTAATGAAGAAAATCATTTCTTGGGTATAGGGAAATGAAGTTTCATGAGTTATAGTTTCAATAAACAGGCACTAATTCCTTGATTTTCTTGAGTTGTGTTCCAATTCCAAGAAGACACACCAAGATTTTAGCTACACCACTACATGCAGTAGGCATTTGGCAGTTTTATTCATCAAAGAAATTTAAAAGTGCATTTTTAAAGAATTGAAAATAATGGATATATGAACCTCATTCTGTATACTTCTAGCTAAAACAAGATATCAAACATCGAGCCTTTTTTTCAAACAACAACTTTCAAATCCCCATCTCATTGAGCTTTTTTTCAATCGTTCAGAACTCAAGTCTTTTTATTTGGTGAGAATAACAAAATATATGTAGATACACTTCATTTATCTGGCCATGGACATGGTGGAGCAATTTCCAAATTCGTTTTCCATCAATTCAACCTGCTGGGAATTGATATTTCTAACATTAAATTGCGAGGAGGGTTTTCAAAGTAGTTGCTTGACAACAATACAAATCTACGTCAACTTTATTTGGGCAATAATTATCTTTCTGGTCATTTTCAATTGTAAATTCATCCTCATGTCCAGTTGTCAGATTTATATATTCCTAACAATTATTCCAACAACCACTTTCCTTAAAAAAAAAAAAAAAAAACTACAGATTTGAAACTAACATTGAACCCCATGTCCACTGAAAAGAGCAAGAAAAGAGATTATTTAGAGGAAAACTATAAAGAAAATCCCCTTGAAATCAAATCAATCCTAAAATGTAGATCTGAGTAACTTGGAGAAAGGAAAAAGGTGCAGGGAAGAGAAGTCAACCCCCTAAGGGAAAAGACAAGCTGTAAAGGGGATTTTTAAGCTTAACATGTAGAAAAATACAACTTTTAGAGATTCTTTCTCTAAGAACAAGAGAGAACTTACATGTAGTTTGTACATCTTTAATTACATCTCTTGAAAAACTAATCAAACGTAATTAATTGTTACAGCGGTAATTTAATTAACCTTATTATCCTCATACTAAAGATGTTTGTGTGCCATAAAAATATGATTTTATTCAAATTTTATTTCTAGAGAGTATTTGATTTAATTGGCTTGTAAAGTAATATTTTTTTATTAATTTTTAGAATTAACTTGAACATTTTATGCAACTTTTATAAATGCAGTACAAATGTCAAAAATCAAAAATACTAGTCAGAATTAAATAAGTCACTTCATTAAGAGATTAGCATTGAGATTTAAACTTGAAATTCTAGACTGAATGAATATTCTTCTTTCCGTCTAAATCAACTTTTAAGCCTAAAAAAAATACAATTAGCTAATATATGATCAGCCATTTAATTTGTGGAAATTTTCACACATAAAAAAAATAATAATAATAATAAAGGAGACGGTTGCATCTCTAAGTCAAGCGTATGAAAAATCCATTCAAACTATATATATATATATATATAGACTGATGAAGAAAAGTGGTCCCCGTTGCAAGCAATGTCTTTGTTTTTGGCTGAAAAAATTATCTTATCTTTTCGTAATTTAGCAAATTGTTTTGTAATTATCATATTTACGAATAATTCGGTACAATTTCAATAAATAAAAAAGGTTTCTTGTTACGTTAGAGAAGAAGAA